ATGTCTCTTTCATAGGTGTCTGTAGAGAGAGAAAAAAGTAATATATTTTTATTTTCAAAGAACAGTAGTAAACTCTTAGTATAACTTATTTTCTTTCCTGTTAAAAACGTTATAATGTTGTATTCCTGCATTTCTAATGAAAGTCAAACTGACAAAACAAAAGATTTTTACTTCATCGGGTATCTATTTTATGATAATTTTAGAGCTAAAACTTATTAAACATTCTTATTTTGAAATTCTAAGCACTTTATTACTGCTACTTTAGAGATATATAGTACTTGACTTTCCATTGTATAATAGAGAAAAGTCAGTGCTAAAATAGTTAAATAAATTGCAAAATTGAAATGATTAAATATAGCCAACATCTGTAATCAGGATAAATTTACTCTGACTTCTCTGACTGTGCATATATGTAAAAAACAAAGAAGCATACAGAAGATGGAAAGTACATTAAATGCCTGATTAAAATACATATTGGGATAACATGGAAAAAGCAATATATTTTAATTACCCTCTCTACTTGCATATGTCAGCATCATATTCTTTAATTTAATGAAAAATTAATAGACTAATTTTCCTGTAAGAAAATTGATATTCAGCCTCAAACTTTCTTCTCTGAATATAAACTAACATATATAATAACTAATTTAATATGAATTGTGAGTATATTAGTGCCAATATGCCTTAAGAGTTTTAGTCTTAACTTTTCAATTTACAATTTTAGCAGAAGTTTTAACAGAATGTTTTACTCATAGAATTAGATTAAATAAAGCACAGTGACAAGTACTAGGAAGATATTAAAAGTTTTGTTGAATAGGAAGAAGTTAACATCTCTGATCATAATCAAAGGCACAAATATATCTAGATGCTTCATTAACATTCATAGGGCAAATAAAGATTAAATATTATAATGTTAGAAAGGTTAAGACATAACTTTATGTTTGCAAGTTTTTGGATGTGTTAATTTTTATTATCTTCAATTTACTTTGAGAGAACTGTTCTGCAAATTTTATCACAAAATTTGAATGTATTTGTCTAAAAGAAAGAATAACATCAGATGGGAATATCAATTTAGATTGGTGTCCTCCATGTGGAAGATAACTTTAGAGATTCCAATCTAATAAATTCAGAAACTAAGTATTTTTTTGCATACTATATTTGGTGTCTAGTCAAGAAATTCCAGGGGATTATTTGAAAAACCTAATTATTTTAAATATGTTGTGATTACAAAAATTGTCCAGAACAATTTTTGTTCTTGAATAAAGATATCATAAAAATATAATCTGAATCATATTAGTAATTTCCAGCAATTAAAGATAAGTCTGCCATGAAAGCTGAATAGGGCACAGGGCACACTAAGTTTTCACTTACAACTTAGTACAGTAGGAAAACCTGGGGAAAAACAATTATACAAATATCAACTTAACACCCCTGGAAAATTATTGGTAAATTCAAAGTACATACTGCTGGAAGATAAGGGAAAGAAAGGCTGTGAACTTAGTAGAATATCAGTTAAAATAGTATTGAAAGTCAAGTTCTAAACCAAAGAGTTTTATCTCATAGTGGTTTATTGGTTCGCCTTCTAAACCAGAAAATGAAGAGGACTTTATGCCAATTTTATGATTGTTCACTTGTATCTAATTATTTCTCTTTTAGTTTTCACTTTTTTTCTTTTAATTAGTTACACATGACAGTACAATGATCTTGACATATCATACATTTGAAGCAGATGGGGTATAATTTCTCATTTCACTTTTTAATACGAGGGATTGAACCTAGAAGTGATTTACCAGTGAGCTCCATATCCAGACCATTTTATTTTTTATTTTGAGACATGTTTTCACTAAGTTGCATGGGGGCCTCATTGAATTGCTAAGGGTGGCTTCAAACTTGCAATCTTCCTTCCTCAGCTTCCCAAGTCACTGAGGCTACATATATGCACCACTCTTCTCTGTGCTAACATAGAATTCTTATGTCAACTTTCTCGCATGCTTTATATTTACTAATAGATTCTTATCTTTTTTTTGGTTTTAGAATATTTACTTGATTAAAAGATGATACATATCTTTGCTATTAATGAAAATTTATCATTGGTGGACAGTTAATTTAAATTGTAGGACATGAAAACTACAACTTCACCTTGGTGACAGTTTTTATGACTAAAGTTTGTGTCAAGAAGATGTTTAGAACTCCATCTGAGAGAACTGGTACTATTAATGGCAATTATATTTTATCTACAGAATAAGAATCTCCTGAGGGAATTTTGCTCAAAGGCAGAAGATTCCTCATTTTCTCCTCAAGCTAGTGGAATTTGGATGGACCCCAGAAGACTCCTTTTTTTTTTTTTGTATCATGGTACTAAAGATTGAACCCAGAGGTGCTCCACTGTTCTTCATCTCCAGACTTTTCCACTGATATTTCTTTTTTTTTTTTTTTGGTGGGGTACTGGGCACTGAACTTGGAGCATTCAACATCTGAGCCACATCCCCAACCCTATTTTATATTTTAGTTAGAAACAGGTGTCACTGAGTTACTTAGAGCCTGGCCATTGCCAAGGCTGGCTTTGAATTCATGATCCTCCTACTTCAACCTCCCAAACTGCTGGGATTACAGGCGTTTTTGATTTTTATTTTGTAACAGGTTTTCACTAAGTTGATAATGCTTTCCTCAAACTTTTGGGCCTCCAGAGTCCCTGGGATAACATACTTAGTACTATGTATTTTAATATATACTCGGTATCTATTTTGTGAATGGCACTGTATTAGTAATACACACTATACAAATCTCTTCACTAGTCAGATATTTAATTTAGGGATTAAACAAATTTAAAACAAGACAGGGGTCTTGAAATATTTCCAACTTTGTTTATCCAAGTTGATTCAAGTAATTTTCAAGGTCTTTTAGCTTTGAATAAAAGCTTTGTACTCAGCTTCCAAAATATAATAATAGGTAGCAAAAAGTAAAATATGAAAGAACATTATATATATATACAAATACTAAATAGAACACTCACTTATAGTATCTCCATCATCCCAAAATAGAGATCCTTGTGCCATCTGATTATCATCTGCAGCAACAATGAGCTTCATGAAATTTTTTCGACTGCAAAAAAGAAACATAATTTTACCCATACTAGCAGAATAGTGCATTTTATATGATGTGGCATCCATAAAAGTATCCAAAAGAGCACAAACAGAATAGCAATTAAGGAGAATGCAAATTATTTAGACAAAGAAAATTAAAGAATTTTTCTCTTTAAAATGTTACAAATATTAAACCATAAAAATCATCATATTTAATACAAAATATCATGCATGTATTTTTTTTGAGACAGGTTCTTCCTAAGTTGTTTAGGACTTCACTAAGTTGCTGAGGCTGGACTGAACTTGCAATCCTCCTGCCTCAGCCCCCCATGTCACTGGCACTACAGGCATGTGCCATCACACTATAGGTGTGCCCTACTATGCCCAGCACTAGCATATAATAACATCCACTCTAAATTATCAAGAGTGGACTTATTTATAGTAATTCAACCATATAAAGTTCATTGATAAATTTATTTTTCTCTCTCTAATCCTGTCATTGGCCATTGAGCATTACTAGATTACTTAAGTCTTCTATGACTTAAGCCTTCTTCATGTTTCCATATATAAATCATTCAATTATCATTGAAAAATTATTAATAAGAATGTAGAATAACTGGCAAGTTCTATCTATGTAATAGACAACACCTCCCAAGGTGAGGCCTAACTATGAACTAAATACCTGTGCCTGTGCTCATTCAACAGCAATTTATGGAAAGTAACTGGGTTTGAAAGTCTCATATTATTAAAAAAGGATTTCTCAGGCAAATTATTTTTAGGTATACATTTTCCAGTCACAAATGTTGAAGGATATATTGTCATGGGAGTCTGCTAAAATATCTGTGATTAAAGCTCAAGTCTTCAAGTCTTCTCAGTAATGACATATTTTTTAGTTAAAAGATGTTAATATTCCTCAGCATTAATGTGTGTGTATGTGTGTGTGTGTGTGTGTGTGTGTGTGTGTTTCAATTAATAGGCACTAGTTTAAAACAGAACTGTGTTTTTTAAATATCAAAAATCTGATTTAACCCACAATTTCTCAACATATGTTAAAACTTGAGATTAAAAACTCCATAA